TGCAGCAACTCCTCCATGTTGAGAGAGTCCTGGCTGTTGTATGTACCAAAGTACGGTGGACGTGACTGACATGGATCATAGCCAATCGCGTAAAACCCACAAAAGATCACCTCGTCTCTGAAGCCGGCGCGCGGGGCAGCAATACTCACATGATAAGCACAAGGGCATTGCAAGCGCGGTTCTTGTTGGGTTCCTTTATTGATAAAATTTGTGGTGTCATCTATCATCGCCGTAAAAGACACATAACGTCGGGCTGCACCCTCGAACTGCCGCTGCCGCTGCTCATCCTGCGCCTTCTCGTTGTCACCACAACTCGTCACAGGCAAGTGCATTAGCGATGATTCTTCATCCACGGCAATGACCTGTTGTCCACCCATCGACATCTCCTCACGCGGCACACAAGAGGGCACGGATGGTTCTTTTTGCGATGCCGGCGCATCCTTCTCATGGCACCAAAACCGTAACGCAGAGGGCACCAAACGTCTGTCCTGCACGAAAGGAGTAAACAGCTTCTTCTTGTCACCTACCGTCACTGTCGTCCTCTTGATGGTGCTGACAAAACCAAAACTAGCGAGGCCACGCGCGGCGATGGCTGTTGTTTGTTGCTGCTGCTGTGATGATGGGGAGCCCGCCGCTTTGGCCGACGATTTGCCCTTGCGAGAGGGGGTGCCACTGTCATCCGTTTTTTGACTTTTCCTCTCGTGATCCTCCAATGCGGTGGTGTTGCCGCTTTCTTTGCCTTCCGCAGTGACATTTTGTGCCTTATTCTTCTTCTTCGGCGCCGCGGTGGGGCTCTTCTTCCCCGCCTCGCGTTGCCTCTTCTGCGCGAGAGCAACGAGGGAAATGTCATCATCATCATCATCATCGTCATTGCCACCATCCCCGCTCGCAGCGGCGGCCGCAGAACCGCCACGGATCGTCTGCTCCAGCGCGAGGGCAATGACGGAGCTTACCGCATCCAACTCGCCTGCCGGGGCGTTCAAGCCATCGCGCTCGGCCTTCACGGGCGATGGGTGACCCACTTCTCTACCAACACCACCGGCATCGTCGGTCTTGGCGTCACTATTGGGCGAAGAAGAAAACGGCGCCTCTTCCCCCTTCACGGTCTGCCGGTTCGCTTCCGCAGCCGCCGTGTAACGCTGCAGCAGCTGCACGGCCTGTTCTATTTGTCCTGGCGCCATGCCGCTCAGGAGGCTCGCCAACCGATCCATCGTCGGACCCCTCGTAACACTGCAATAATGTGGCGGAATGCAAAAAACCAAATAAATTGCCACTCGTTCTTCGCACACACACACACACACACACACACACACCTCTCTCTCTCTCTTCTTCTTTGGATGGATATGGATGTGTACACCGCCGTAACAGTTCCCAAGCTTCGACTTGTGTCCCTCCTTCACTCCTATGAAATTACTTCATGGCACCGCAATTAAGGAACAACAAAACAAAAGGAAGAAGGCAAGGGCGAGTGCGTGGAAGAACAGAATGGAAAAACAAAACAAAACAAAATCCGCAGTAAAAACAAAAAAACAAAATGGATACAAGAAAGCCTCCATAACCGTAAATAATAATAACAATGCTAACAAGTTTTATACGCAAAAATGCACTTAGTTTACATGAATCCACATATATACATACAAAGAAAGAATGGTGGTGGTTGTGGAAAAAGCGTGAAATCAAACACGCCCCAAAAGCACACCAAAAAAAAATCTCTGCCGTATTGATCGTTGTGCGTTTCATTACCAAATTCATAAAGCAATCAACGCAAAGGCATCCTCGCTTATCGTACCACGCCCCGTGTCGCCAACAAACAAGAGTAAATCCTCCAGTTCATCCGATTCAAAAGGTGGCTCACCGCTTTTTTCAGATTCTTCGACTGTCTCCAACACACGTGTCAGGTCACTGCTGTAGATGAAGCGAACACCATCCCCAGTTTTCTGTCGATATGAGGTTGACCAAAGCACATCAAAGATATTGTCTACAACCTCCGGGTTAACGTACTCCAGAACGGTGACAACGCGTTCAAACTTTGACGCGCTTTCCCCGCTCTGAACGTTCGCTGGGTCAAAAACAAGCAGTCCCGTGTGCATTATATCTAGCAATACGGCCTCCAGTTTCTCACGATCCGCCATCAACTCCTTCCCCTCCACCGCAGCCCACTCCACCGTTTCAGAGAAAGGGTTCTCCATCATATCTTCTAGTGTCAGTTTTCCTTGTACATCATTGTCGTATTCATCCTCGACTTCTTTCGCATTGTCTTGCGGGAATTTCGCAAAAACTCCTTCCCATTTTGGTTGGGGCCGCTGCTGCTTCTGCAGTTCTTCATGATTCAAGACCATCCACCCAATCTGACGCAATTGCTTGTCTGTGGGATTGAGCCCAAGTGAGCGCACAATATTTGGCAGCACCTTCATCGGCACGCCTGTTGCAATCTCCTTATTCACCCGCTCCTCGCGTGACACAAGTGACTCTATCTCCAGAGGCGGCTGTGCCAACGTAAAGGCCTTAATCGATGTGAGTATACGCTGAAGGCAACTGTTGGTGATTTCCGCACGAGATTCTTTGGAAAGATAAAGCATTTTGTCCAAGGCATTACGGTACCTTTCATCAGGGTCTAAAATCTTCTCCAACTTCTTCTTCCTGCCACGTGAAACAGTGTTCTTCCCTTTTGGCGGCATGTGGAACGGTGCGTAGCCACTCCTTTTGTTTTTTTTTCTCTTTTTATTTCAAATAATCCGCCTTTCCCCACCTTCTGCGTGCAGGCGGATGGTGCGCAATGGCAGTCGATGATACTGGCGGTTGCAATTGAAAGCAAATGCGTGAAACTAACAAACAAACCAAACCAAAACAAAAACAAAGAAAAAAAAGTAAATCAAAAGGCATGTGCTGCAGGTCGCAGAAAAACAACAACAACAACAACAAGAACTGCCCTTTTTTTCCAAACTTAGAAAATAAAAAATATATAATAAAAAGGACAACAAACCTATATATATATATATGTATATATGTATGGGCAATAGCTGCTTTTACCCTCTCTGCCTCTTGGGTGACATTTCCAACCGAATTTTAGCTATAACGGACTACACGCATGAAGACACATCAGCTGCGGTATTAGAGAAAGTCACACATGCACGTGCCGCCTCGCCCCCTCACTTTTCCACAGTAGCCATATCGCTGTCTGTGGCCTCTCCTGTCAACCGTCGCCACATATGCCCCATTGTCTTGACCACCTTTTTAACGCCCATCTCCGCGTAGGTTGCCGTGCGCTCAGGCCTCACGAAATGTACAGAGTCGCGTAGCAACGCTGGGGTGCCGTACGTCTCCCGCAGTTTTGAGGCAAGAAAGTACAGCTCACTATCCTCCAACAGTGCCACCAAATACGGCGCGGCCTCGCTAAATATATTGAAGTCTGGCGCCAGCCTCCTTCCAAGTCCCTCCCCCACTATCACGGTGAGTACAAGTGAGGCAAAGTTGCCATCGATAGGTGTTTTATTCTCTCGCACCGTGTTCATAATTTTAGCCAACACGGGGCCTATGCGGACCTTGCTCAATTTAAAGCCTTCCGATTTTCCCGGCGGAACAATGTCAAAGATCGCCTGCATGTCGTTACGAAACTTTTCACGTTTCACTCCACTTTGAGGCCTTCTTTGCTTTGGCATACGATCGATCATGAGGTCCGAAGCAAGTTTGCCGTCTCCACATGCCACCGCCGCAAAGAGTGCAATGAAGTTATTCCGTTCCTTCTTTGACAACGTCGACACAAGCCCTGTGTCAAGCACAACGAGCTCATGCAGGAGTTTCATCTTCCCATCTGGGTAGTAGGCATCGGCGGAAGGCAATAAAAGGGATGCGGATACGCTGCTAACGGGAGCCCCTGGATTTGTCCGAAGCAGCAAGTTTCCCGGGTGAAGGTCGGAGTGCACAAAATTATCTTCAAAGAGCATCTTAAGAAACATATGACACCCCCGCTCGGCAAGATCATAATAGTTGTCGCCACTCTGAATCCCCTGCAATGGCTCACCTTCTTCAAACGTCTCAATCAGAACGTCCTGCGAGCAGAGTGAGGGCAGCGGCCTGGGAAAGATGACGCCGGGAAAGTCACGGAAGTTGAATATGAACTGCTGCAGGTTATCGCACTCCTGCCGGAGGTCAAGCTGGGACTGCACAAAGGAAGAAAACTCCTGAACACTCCTCTTCAGGTCAAAGTAGACGGTGCTGGGCCAAAGGAATGTGAGAATATTCACAAACCAACGCATCCCCGTGACATCCGCAGCGATGTGCTCACGAATACGAGGATGCGTGACCTTAATTGCCATTTCCGTGCCCGCAGGAATTCCATCAACTTCCTCACGCAGTACTCCACGGTGAATCTGTGCGATGCTGCCGCTGTTGACAGGCACGGTTTCAATTTCTTGTAAATAATACAGCGCGTTGTGTCGCTGCTTCATTGCCACCTGCTTGCACCTCGTCTTTGTGGTCTCGACCACATCCGGTAATGACGTCATGCCATTGTCTTCGATAAGACCATCGGACGGTGTTGCCTCATGCAGAGTGCGACGTAAAACCTTCTCCGTGTGGGACCAACTGTGGGCGGAAGTTTGATCGTACAGCTTTTCCAGCGCAGTACAGAGAGTTGGAGGAAAAAAGTCTGGCCGCGTCGCCATCCATTGCCCAAACTTGATGTAACTTGGCCCCATCGCCGTCAACGCATCCCGCAGCTTCTCAAAAAGAACTTGCTCCCCGCACAGATGTAGGCCATATGTCAGGAACGCATACCAAATCACCGGAACCATGCGCGTCAGGAGCATCACTGAACGGAGTAAAACGAGGCCGTAGAAATACACAGCGGAAATTCCCCATAGCGGTTCCCCAGTCAATAACAACTCATTGGAGAAGCCATAACCATCACACGGATTGATATTTTCATTGCCGCGGTTGTTGGTTCCGGCGACGAACGGCCGTGTGCGGCGAACCGGTGGTTGCATCCTCGAGAGCCGCGCTACACGCCACTGCTCCGGCAACCGCGCATAACGGTAGTACAGAAACAGGCCGCCGCCAGTAGACCCCACGAGTAAAGTACTAACACCCGCAAGTTGCCAGAAGCTTCGACGTGTTGCCTTCGCACGGACATGCGCTGCGGACGTCATGCCTCTCCCTTTTTCCCGCCTACCTTCCTGCCTCGGTGTCGTCCACAGCACCCGTTATCGTTCCTCCCGAAGGTGCACCCCGCTCTAAACAAGCCGTATCAGAAGCAAACCCACCCACCCACCCACCCACACGCACAACAAGAGGGGGAGATAAAAAGGATATATTCAGCAAGCAGCGGAATTAACAAATGATATTCATACACGCAAATTGGCTTCCTTTTTCATTTCTCATCAAACAACCACCACAGAACCACCGCAAAAAATATCAACGCACGCGCTCGTGCCCATAAAAAAACATAACCGTTACCCACAAGAGCCACGCGCAGCCGTGAAGCCAAGGCCAAACAAAGCAAAGAGCTTCGAAGTACAGTCCTCAATACTCTCTTAAAATAACTCAAAACCCAAATCCATATTCTTCAAAGGAAATAAAGAAATACAAAGTCACCACAGCAAAATTTTCACCAATACGCACCCAATAAGAGGAAGGCAAAAGGTAGACCAAAGGAAGGGGCAATATGCGGGACACAAGCAAATGGACGACCGTTCTCCCCCACAGCACAAGGGAGAGCCCAAATCGCTGAACTCGCACCGACAACCACGCAAAAATCATGTCGCATCCCAACTTCATTGAGTGTGATAGCTTTCGGAGACATTAAAATAATTGCGGTGGCCACTTACATCGGTGTACCATGGCATCTTCAACAGATTCTCAACGCGATGGGCGAGTACACGCTCCGCGCACAGCCCGAAATCCAAACGACAAACACTATACCACAGGATCCTTTTATTCGCCACGATCGAAACGCCATCATCAAAACGCACTTCATTAACGCCAGTAGATTCTGGTCAATGCGCAGATCCCCCGCCGCAGTGCAGTGCCTCAACGGATTGTGCATGTCCTCCGCGGACACCTTGATGCGGATCGGAGCCCAGCCATCGTTCCCATCCTCGCTGGCGGCGGTGTACGCCTGCATGGCGCCCTGTCCCCGGCGCGGCACCTCACGCACCACCGCAGTCGGCAGCCGGCCGTATTTCTTCATCGTCGCGTCAAACCCACAGCAGTGCTTCACTGCACGATCGGCGGCAACGCAAACACCGGCGCAACACACCACCATGATGAGCCACGGCAGCAGCAGCAGCGGCGGCGCGGTGTGGCGTGGCTGGCACATGGCTTGGGGACGATGTGTCTGTTCCTGAGGTGTGGGCAGCAGCAGTGGTATTAGTCGTGGTGGTGGTAGCACAGGCCTTGTCTGCGGGAGGAGAAGCAGAAGGAGGAGGATAACAAAGGGACAAAGAGACGCTGCAGCCACAAGAGAGAGAGGGGCAGCACCACATATTACCGCAGCGCACACACAGACGGCACCGAAAACAAACAGAGCTCCAAATAAAACCGAAGCACAAAAAAATGTTCGCCGGGCTGCTGGCCGCATCCTGAGCTGATCCGTAAAAATAAAATATGACGGCAAATAAGAGGGCCATGGAGAGACAGCGGCCTCGCCACATCCTCAATGTTTGTCCCAACTACATCTATATATTCGGAGATGCACTCTCGTGCCACGGTGCGGTGTATTCGGATTGGGGATATTTATTACTTACGAAATGGAAGAATTTGGGCTCCTCCAGCCACAAGACCCCGCCGCAAGGTCCAAATCAAAGAGGGTGGATGGCAAAAATAAAAATAGAAATGAAATTCGTCTTGCCGTTATCGGTTACTTGATTCCTTCTATCGGGGCCTTCCAAAGAACCATAAGATAGGAAAAGGATCACAGAGAAATATTTTCGTCGTTTTACCAGGAGATAAATTGGGCAGGCAGCCCTCTCGATAACATTCTTACAGGCACTCAAAAACACCAGCACCCCATCTACGCAGTGGCAGAAACACGGAGTGAGAAAAGGGCACAGGAGAGAAAAGCAAAGAAAGGTCTGTGACCTAATTTCCTCCAGCACAAGATAAGAAATATACATGTAAACACCTCGCACCCTCGTCATGCTGTCGCCATGGCTGCGACGGATGCATTCCGTGGCCCACGGCGAGTCCGGCGTGTCTCCCCACTCCCACGATCATTCATGACTGACGAAAAGAAGGTGCTGAGTGTTTCTTTCGCTCGCCTCCCGCGTGGGGCGGGGAGGATCGCGTCGGGCGGGCCTCCACAACTCACCCTGCGCGCGACCTCTACACCAACAAGCTGAGCAAAGAGGACATGGCTGGGCCGTTTTGGCGCCCACTCGTAGGGCCGGCCATTCCCCCGCGGCAAGAAATGAATAATAATAAAATACAGGAGAGCCCCAGCCCCCGGAGAGGGAGCTGCAGCGGAGGGCGCGAAGCACAACCCTGTTACGCTGCTGCTCGATTGAGGTGTATCCGCAGTGCCTCTCGCCCCACAATCCACGCTGCCCGATAATTTAATTGGCGGCGGAACCCCGGAATCAGAGTCGCCGCTGCCGCTTCCTGGGAGTCTCGCCCTCGTCTTCTTCCGCATCCTCCGCGGATGTCGGGTCGTCCGCTAGAGGCGGGCCAACGACCGGTATTGGGTGGCTGCTGATGTTCGGGAAGGCGGTGCACACATCGGCGTATTGGGGGCACACAATGCTCCCGCGCCAGGGACCCGATGGCGGCGTGACGGTCTCACCCTCCCGGCACTCGTGCCACGCATCGTCACGAAGGAACCGCACGCTCAGTGTGCCGTCGCTGCATCGAGTGTCCACACACACATCGCCAATATATTTGTCGTCGAATTGAAGCTCCTGCCCCTTTACGCACCGCGAGTTCGGGCCAACGATACTGCCAAGCATTACTGAAGGATCGCCGTTGGTGCACCCAGCATTAGAATATTTCTTGACATACGGGCATCTGCTCATGTAGAGGTTATCACCGCCAACCCGGGGATCAGCAAAGTACCGATACTCCTCTGGGAGGGCTTCCTCGTGCCTCTTCAGCTTACAGCGCCCCAGAGACAGACGGTTGTACGTGCAGAGCTTATATCCGGCACGCGAGAACTGGTTGCAGAACAGATCAGGGTATTCGCTGATGCCGTCGGTCAAGCACTTCTTTTCCAGCAGCCCACAGCCAGAGTTGTTGCCCCACCACAACATCTCCGCCGCGCTGTAGTTTGCCAAATAAAAACCCATGTCCTCAAATGCTGCAAGCGTCAGTGCCGAGTACAGCCCAACCCCCACATCACTAGTCATCAGCTCGTCCCTCATGCTGCGTTTCTTCCAATGCGAAAGTGCAGTTGCAGGACCACCCTCGT